TGTGTGTGTGTGTGTGTGTGTGTGTGTGTGTGTGTATTTCAGTCTTATTCCTGATCCACCTGGCCATTACTGCATTGCAATTCAATGCAGTCCCATTCTTACTACTTTAGTTTTCCAGATTTAACAAGGCACACTTAGACTGCCTCTTCCTAACTGATCTTCTAATCACCATAAACAATGCTAAACAAATCTCAAAATACATTTTAAATGTCAATAGGTATTAATTCCTAAGTGCTAATGAGTCGGACACCCTGATGAGAGTTTTATGTATATCATCTCATTGAATCATTGAATCTATTTGATGAATATTATCCTCATAACAATGAGAAGGAAACAAGGCTCAGGGGTGAAATTTCTCAAGAGCTTATGGCTAGTAAGCGGAGGAGCTGGGATCAGGTCAAATCTACGTGACCTCTTCTCAACTACCACCATGAAGAGCCTCATACAATGCACTGTTTTTATACAAACCCATCAAGGCTCTCCATCTGTTCCAACCAATCTAAATTTCGACTGATTTTTATATTTTTGGGGAGGTGACTCCCCCTCTGAATTTTACAATGTGCATAGTCTGTACTACCCAATTCAATAGTGAACTACTGTCTAATACTGTTGGCTAGCTGATTGTTTTAGTGAAATCAGTTTCTTCAATAAGAGTATGATTTCTTCAAGAGCAAAGATTCTGTGCTGGATCACCTTATTTTCAGCCTTATCTAGCAGAGTGCTGGCATGGCAGAGTTAAATGATTATATAAGACTAATAGCAACTGCCCACAGTGACAACAGTTGCAGCCTTTACTACATGCCAGGCGCTCATCCGAGAATTTCACTTGCAGTAACTTCTCTCATAACACTATCATAAGTACAGTTATTACCCTCATTTTACAGAAGAGAAAAGCCTGGACACTGAGAGTTCAATTAAACTGTCCTAGGACAACCAGCTAGTAGGTGACAGGGCTAGGCTTCAAACCCATGTAATTTTGCTCTAAGACCATATGCTTAACCATTAATTAAAATGTCTGGATCTGTTGAAATTAAAATTTTGTCAAGAATGAAAAAGAAGACTAATATAGGGATAATCTTTCAACAACCAGTAGAAAGAACCAAGAAAGGAACAACACAATTCAGGAAGAAACCACCTCTCACTAGATCTCATTCCATAGCATCCTTCCTAAATATTCCTGAAGAAAAAAAGTTCAATGTTTTTGGTGAGGGCTTATTAGAAATCAACCCATGGTATCTTAGGCCCAACTGCCAATTCTGACAAACTGAGTATGTATAGTGCTTCTCTTTAAAGACAAAGCCCTGCCATTCCCACTTATTCCCCTACCCCTGCCTCCACCTGTTGAGTGCCATGGTGACAGTAGCTCCCTGTTGCATTTCCTGTGAAGCTGCCACTGCGGCCTCTGCCAACGACGCTACCGCCTGTGTTGCCTCTGATGCTTGCGTCGTCTGGATGGTCATTTCTCCTCCCTGTAATGTGGCCCAATTTTGTTCCACCTGAGGCAGAAAGGACAAGACAATCAAAAATTAAAGCCATGAAAAAGTTATGAGTTTAAAAAGTAATTTTTATAATAAATTGCTATTTTCAAGCCAAATATATACTTTTAAAGCAAAGGACCTACTATGTACAGACAGTGTTTTTTAGTATGTTGTCTTTTGTATAAAAAGGAGGGTTTTAGAATAAATATTTAAATTCTTTTGAAGTTTGCATAAAGAAATTCTAGAAAACATACAACTTCCTCAGGGTTGAATATGTGACAGAAAGCAAGACTTTCCACTGCTTACTTTTAAATATTGTTTTAAAAATTTGGACTATATCAATATATTATGTATTCAAAAATTAAGGTAATTTAAAAAAATAAACAATAAATGTAGTTACAAAAATTTTTATTTAAAGCATTGTGTTCTCACTATATCCCATAAAGTATATATACTTCAAAACATCATGCTGTGTTTGATAAATTCAAACTGTGTCAGAGGAAATGCCAGTACTCTAGGCATTGATTACTGTTGTTTGTTTTCCTATGTATCTTTGCAGAGGTATTCTCTTTATATGCATTCTCTCTCATATACACACATCTATTTCCTTCTTCCTGTGCTGAGCTACGTCCCTATCCCTTATTCCTTCTTGTTTATTTGTACCCAGGAGTGCTTAATTACTATGCCATATCCATAACCCTTTTTATGTTTTGTTTTAAAGGCAGGGTCTCGATAAGTTGCTGAGGCTGGGCTTTGAACTCTCCATCCTCCTGCCCCGGCCTCCCAAGTCACTGGGATTACAGGAGTGTGCCACCAAGCCCTGCCCCTATTCCTTTTTTTTTTAAAGATGACAGATTATTTTACATACCCTTTATACCTTGCTTTTTTCCCCCACAAACAATACGTCTCTGAAATGATTCCATTTTAGAACACAGAAAACTTCCTCATTCATTCATGATTCAGAATTCATAATAATGGTTGCAGGGCACTGTACTAAATAGAAATACCATGACTGACATAGCAGCCATTTTTTAATGGACATTCAGGTTCTAGTCTTTTGCTATTACCAACAATGCTGTGGAATATCTTTTGTGTGTGTGTGTGTGTGTGTGTGTGCGTGTGTGTGTGTGTCTGTGTGTGGTGCTGGGGATGAACCCAGGGCCTTGTGCAAACAAGGCAAGCACTCTACCGAAAGTATCCTCACCAGTCATGACAATCAGAAATGTCTCCGGATACTGTCAAAATGTCCCTTCTGGTTCTGGGTTAAGAACCACTGATTTTAGTAACATACCTTTTATGGAAAGACTTCTTGTTCTGGATATCAGTATCTATAGTTACTTTAATTCATTTGGCTCAATAAATACTGGTTGATTAATTATCACCATCCCCCCAAACCAAAAAAGAACAGGGCAGAGATATGGGGGTGGTGGTGATAAATTAGTTCAGGCCTAAAACCTCCTTGAACTCCTAGACCTTAGGATGTTAGCTGTGCTTCAGAGGGTTCTTGTTGTCCCTGCTTCACATTGCTAGATCCATAGAAAGTGCCATAGCTCTAGGAAAAACATTTAAAATAACCTGGTTTGGTCCTGTGAATCATAAAATTACATCCTAAGATTAGGACAGTGCTTCTCAGCATGTTTCTCAAAAGCCTCCCAGAGGAGACATTCCTTAGCTCCTTAGTGTGTGTTCTTGGTTCTCTTGGGCAGATGGCTGTGCCAGCAAGCCTTCATGGCTCCTCACTACAAAGGAAGAGATATCCTAGAGCTGCAAAGCTGCCTACTCAGAAACTTAAAAAACTCTTGCTTCCCCAGGTAGGATCACTTTGATCTCATTTCTCTAACGAGCATTGTTACCAATAATGCCACTTTAGATGGCAAGCTACATTGTCAATTCTTAGATGGTTCGTGATTCCAATCAAAATAGCTGCTGAGGGTTGGGGTTGTAGCTCAGTGGTAGAACGCTTGCCTCCAACACGAGAGGCCCTTGGTTTGATCCTCAGCACCACATAAAAATAAATAAATAAAAATAAAGATATTAAAAAAAAAAATAGCTGTTGAAGCTGGCAGCACTGTCACCTACGGCCCTTACACAAGTCTTCCTTTGTCCTGATCCAGCCCTCTCTTTTCGTGATCCTATTGCTGCTGCTCTTATCTGAGGTTGGTCTGGGGCAACTTCCAAATCTCCATTCTCCAGTGGCAGCAATTCAGCATAGACTCATTCAGTTACAAGTGCATTGTGGTAAAAATAGTTTTAGGATGTAGCCATAGACAACATAATTTAAAGAAAAATTATATGGCACAAGATTTACAGGGATGACAGCAAAATGTGGAGAGAAAATGGGAATTTTCTAATCAGAAATATGGCAGGTAAGGAATAAATTAGCTTTTGTGCTACGATCTCTTTGGAACTTCCTATTCTAGAGTCTTAGTACTTTGCTTGAACCCTTGTTGCTCTCTGCTCCTATCTGTTGGGGGGAGCCAGTATATGATAGTCTATGCCTAGATGTCACTATGACCTAAAGAAAGGGCTACAAGCCTGAAGACAAAAGATACTCAGAGAAGGCCTATGAGTTTCTATGCCTGAAAGATCCACTGCACTGGGGCCCTTTGAATTGTGGCTTCTTCATGCTTTCACAATGCAGTGCATAGAATGTGTTGCTGCCTTCAACACGAACCCAACTCCCATCCTTGAGTCTTTTGTTTTGCTAGTTATGCTCCTCGTCTGAGCTCAGGTTCTACTTCCCCCAGGAAGTATTTCCTGAGAAAACCCATCAGTCTATGGTTCAAAGTTAGGCTCTCTCCTCTGAGTTCCATAGCATCCTGGGCTCACCTGATCTAGCTCACTGTCATGGTTCTGCATGGACTTTTCCTATCATCTGCCTAGTGCTCCTTACCAGCAAGGACAGTTTTTACTGTCCTGCACCTGGCACAGGGTGCCAAAAGTGTTTGCTGAATGTCTGGATGGAGAATATACTCATTTATTTACATTTTCCTACTTATTATCCAGCTTATCCCTATTTCAGTTAAACTGACATTCATTAAAATAAAAACTCAGTAAAATGAGTTGTGCAATTTCAAAATGAATATATGTACTGATAGTTCCATTTAAAATTCATGTCTCTAATGTCTTTGAACGTTGGTGTTTTCTCCTTCTGCCAGCAGAATCATAGATATTTATCACTTGGATATTCCATTTTGATTTTTTTGACACCTATGGCTGTTAATATCACCAATACCAACTGTTGGTCCCATCACACAATGGAATAAATTCTTAAAACCATTTGCATTTTTACATATGCCATCAGCATAAAATTATTTATTTAATTTATTATTATTATTATTATTATTTTCAGTATTAGGGATTAAACTCAGGGCCTTACAGATGCTAGACAAGTGCTCTACCACTGAGGTACAGTTTAATTTGTTTTGTTTTTGTCTTTTGAGATAGGGTTCTCACCATGTTGCCTAAGTTGGTCTGGAACTCATAAATTCAAGTACTCCTCCTGCCTTAGCTTCCCAAGTGGCTGTGACTACAGGAATGGAATACCACACTCAGTTAGTGTATATTTTAAAATCAACATGTATGTCCATAAGCAATGTTCATATTTTTTGAAATTCTTTCTTTAGTCAATTCTAAATATCTTTGTAGTTTGTACCTGTCTCTAATTAATTTTATATTGCCTAAAGCTACAGAATTTTAATTTCTTCATAACTATCAGATTACTGCATACTCTTGGCATACCAGGCTCCCAAATGGTCCTTCTCATGAAAGTATTAAAGAGACAATCTCTTTTACTGTGTATTATATAAAATGCTACATTGTAAATGCAAAATTACATGTTTCTAACAGCTAGGTTCAGTTCATAATGATCCATGAATTTTCACTTTTTTTTTTTTTGAGGTGCTGTGGATTGAACTCAGGACTTCTTGCACCCTACAGGCAAGCGGTCAACACTGAGTCATATCCCTAGCCCTGTGGATTTTAATTGTTACAATTAAAATACACAGTGTAAGGGCTGGGGTTGTGGCTCAATGGTAGAGCGCTTGCAGCGCTTGCTTAGGGCTCATTTAGCCTTGGGTTGGATCCTCAGCACCACATAAACATAAATAAATAAAATAAGGGTGTTGTGTCCAACTACAACTAAAAAACAAATATTAAAAAAAAAAACAACACAGCATAAGATACCCTCCCCAAATTGTCAAAGCATGATGTTAAAAACACTTAATACAATGTTATAGACATAGAGGCTACTTCTTCATCTTCTGAATCCTCAGCTCTCCCTCACCTAATCATCTAGGTATTTAAACAGATATAGACAGAATCCTCTTTCTTACCTCTCCATCAGCCACAGCAGAATAATTCACTTGGGCAACAGTGACTGTGGTTGGCAGTTCTGAAGCATCAGCCAATGTGGCCACTGTTGCCCCTGTACCAACCTAAGGAAAAACACGGGAACTGATATCAGTGATTAGACCCTCTGCCTTGTCTCTCCTCAGGAACTAAGATGCACTGAACCCCAAATTCAGCAGATAATGATTAATATGTAATTGTGATGTAAAATCAGCTACTAAACTATTTCTCAGAGACTCATATGAGTTTCAGAAATTTATTTCAACCAAATAGATCAGTATTAGAAGAGCTATTACATGTCTAATCAGTGGCCAGAGCTAGTCAACTGGTTTCTTACTCTCATCCCAATCTGAAATTTAGAAGTTCCCTTCCTGTCAATAAATTGGGTTTGCCACAGAAGAGGTAATTCAGAAGGAATATTCCCTGGCTACTGACAGTGAAACAGTAAAAAAGAAGCCACTTCCAAGGGTTTTATTTTGGAAATGTCCAGGAAAGCTACTCATAGCTCTGAACTGAGTAAAATGAAAACAATTTAAAATACTGTTTAAAAGTCAATTTTAGCCAGGAGAGAGATCTAGGGGAGGTGTATAAAGCTTATACAAGAGTTTGCACAAGAAAACTTCCTGCAGTCTGGGGAAGGTGTCCAGTGACCCACCTCTCTGGTAACCATTAGGTTTACTCACCTGGATGAGTGAGACAGTGCCATCAGGGTTGCTAAAGGTCTGCACTACAGTCTGTGATGGTACAAGATGGGCTATACTGTGTGTGGTAGTAGCCTGTGTTTGTTGATCTTCAAAAGCATATAAAAGATCCTCCCGCCCATGCTGTTTATAACAGTTTTTAACTATGGTCCGTAGTGCTTGTGTCCATGAAACCTGTCACCAAAAGACCAGAAAAGCACATTAAACCACAAAGTACCATAGTATCTAAACCCAATAATGCAGCTGCTTATGTTTCAAGCCAAATCAAACCTTATGCAGAGTAAACTGTTTTAGGATTATTTCCCACAGACTGATTCTGGAATAAGCAAACTGAGCACCAAATATTAAAGGAGGTTTCCCAATGATTTCCTTCCTGGTGAAAGTCTAGTTTAGCTTTTGGGTTTTATACCCTATTCCAAACTAAGGCCAAACTCTTATTAAACTTCTGACAAAGAAACATTATTCTAGTCAAGAATCATATATTAAGAATCTCAGTAAACTTCCAAGCTAAATTAAAAAAAAATGCAGAAAAATAGGGATGTTATCTATTATCTAGTTTAGTGTTTCTTCTCAAAGTGTTGTTATTAGTAGGCTCACTTGGAAAAGTTCATTTCTCTCTAATTCATACTTGTATTTTTCAACAGTGATTCTTACTAATATTTCTATGTCTGCAAGTGATTAATATTTTCACTTTAAGTTTCTTGGGTTTTCCCAAGCACCTCATAAAATTAAAGCTGCTTCAAAAGGCAACTAAGAAGACAGAATATTAATTCATGGACCCATCCTGGTCTTTTTATAGGGAAGAAATGACAAATGAGAAATGTTATAAAATCAGTGACCAGTGAACTTCTTGGAAGGGATAGGTCTATTACACAAATGTTTTTACACGTTTTAGAAATAGTAATGACAAAATTTGAGGTGATTAATTCAGAATGGAAAAGCAATGGGTTACTCAGGCTGAGGAATGCTCACCCTCTGCTTTTGCTCTTCTGTGCGGACGTCACTCCGGACATTTGCCCATGGGATATCTTCAGGCCACCAGATAGGCTTGCAGCTTTCTTTCCCCCAGCCTGGTTTTCCCCGACCTGTGGAGTACTTGAGCATCTCTGGGATAAATGCCCGAAGCTGGGCCTGAAAGAGAAGAGTGTAATCATTAGTATTCATGAAAGACATCTCAGGTATGTCCATCTCCCCTAACAAATTCTAAGATTATAAAACCTTCCTCCAAGGTCCCAAATAATTTCTAATGTTAGTGCTGAGAACACCCTGTTTTCCACAGGTTACTACATTTCATGGGTGATGGAGAAGTGTAGATTTGCTGGTAAAGGGCCCCTTTTCTTTTTGTAGACCTGTTCCTGAAAAAACTAGCACATCTACCCCCAAGTTTGATTTTTGCCTCCTAGGATACCACTGGCACTACAGCAAATTTCCCTTCTGTGGTTTCCATGTACTTGAAGATGTCCAAGTCAAGCTGTTTTAAACATTGTCCTGGAGTTGGTAATTAACGCAATTAGATACGAGAGGAGTTAGAAGTGAGGAGCAGATCAAATCATCATTATTTGTAGATGAAATGACTGAATCACTCTAGAGAATCAAATGAAAAACTACTACAAATATCAGAGAATTCAGTTTGGTAGTTGATTATAAAACACATGAAAATAAACAGATTTTCTACTTAATAAAGGGGGGGAAATACACTAAAACTGTTCTAAAAAGCTAGGCCACTGTCTGTGAGTCTTATCTATAGATACAATGAAGCTTGCATGATTTTTTCTTTCTTTCTTTTGTTTTTGTGGTACTGGGGATTGAACCCAGAGGTGCTCTATCACTGAGCTACATTCCCAGCCCTTTTAATTTTTTTATTTTAAGACAGGGTCTTGCTAAGTTGTACAGGCCAGCCCTCTTTTTGCTATTCTCCTGTCTCAGTCTCTGAATCCTTGGGATCATATATGTGTGCCACCACACCCAGTTGCTTGGATGATTTTTAAATATATTATGGACTTCAATCAGATTTTTAAAAATTTTGTTTTTTCAGTGCTGAGGAATGAACCCAGGCCCTGGGGATTGATTGAACAAAGGGTCTTGTGTATTCTAGACAATTTCTTTACCACCAAGCTATACCTCTAGACCCATTAAGATTTTATTTTACAATTGAATTCAGACCAAACAGGTTTTAAACCACAGAGACAACTGCAAAGATTCTTCTTCTTTGTTTTAAAAAATATTTTTAAAATTGCCAATGGGCCTTTATTTATTCATAATGTAGTGCTGAGAATCGAACCCAGTGCCTCACATATACCTAGGCAAGCACTCTACCACTGAGCCACAACCCCAGTCCTGCCATTCTTCTTTATTTCTTGCACTTTGAACACACTCTGGGTGTGTGCTGAGGAGGGGGGTCTGCTTTGTAAATATTCTTCATAATTGATAATGAGTTTTGGCAAGAAAACCAGTTCCTCAAGTTATGAGCTTAGAATTCCTCCAAGACCTACTGCTCCCCTTTTGACCCGGTGGTCTACAGCACTGCACAGAGAAGTAGCATCCTACATCTTCCAAAGACATGTCTGCACTATCTCTGCAGCACAGAACCAAAGAGAAAGGACATTCTGAACAATGAGTCAGACTCAAGGACTTGGCTATAGCTATAAAACCAAAAAATAAACAAACAAATGAACAAAAATACTTAAGTATTAATGAGAGAGGAGTATGGTAGCCTTTAATATTGAAGATCTTATTTAACTATTCTATGTTCTTATAACAAATACCATGTATTATTTTACTAAGAACATGACACAAATTGTTATATAATAGGGATGAACCATGAACCAAATCAGTAATATTTATCTAATAAAGACAGGTCTAATGGGCAGTATTTATACTGTAAATTCCTCTACGGAGCTTGCCATTTCATTCCCTCTCAGATAGTCTCCTGCCTACAGGATATGAAATCATATACTCCATATATATTTGGCTCTGCAGCATTGGGCAGCAGGCTAATAGAAAAGTATCCATTTGCAAACCCATGCTATCAGCTGGCTCATGAGGTCATTTACCCAGTTATTTTAAGAAAGTGCATCTCAAAGTCATTTTTCCCTTATCCTGATTTCTTGGGAGTGTTCCTTTTTTAGCTTTAGATACACAGTGCAGAAAAAGGCTTAGTCCTTATATACTATAGTTTTACTTCTTCATATACAAAAGAACAGCTTTCTCAAATGCATAAATTAAATAAACTGATACCACAGATTTTTAAAAGTTCCCCTTTATTTTAATCCTATTACTAGGCTTCAAAAAGGAGAACCCTTTATATCATACCTAGGTAAGTCTGGAGAAAATGAAAAGTGAAGGATAACTAAATCTAAATTAATAAAATTCTAAAGTTTTCAGAAAGAATGTGTTGTGGAGGACAGAAGGTTGATAACCTGCTCAAATACAACTGGAGCCCATACATTCTCTAATATGATGATCTCTCTACTTCTGATCCCTCACATTACTTCTCTATGCTCTGAAGATCTTGGTGACTTTGACACCTGGCTATAGAGATCTTTCATACTCAGTCTTGCTTTGGTCCTCCTAACAGGCTTTCCACAGAATTTTGGTAACCCACTGGTTCCTTGACATATAGACCTATGCCTCCTCACTTAAACCCTACTCTACCTTTTCTCCAACTACTTGTCTTCTCAACTTCTCTGTTTTTGCCAGTAGAAAACCCCTTCCCCCAGCCATCCAAGCTCAAAACCTGAAGGTTATCTTTTGTTATCTTATTTTTAATACTCACTTAGACGCCAAGTGCAAGTCTAATTCTTTCATTTTCGAAATGTCTGTGGTGCCCATTCCTTTTTCTCTGGTTTCACCTTCACTCCCCAATTCCTACCCCAAGGATAATGTAACCAGAAAGTTGACTTTCTTGTGTAACTCAAGTTCTCCCATGTCTTTCTCTCATCTTACATATCCTTGACAGACAGTTTTCCTTAATGCTACACAGATTCAACACTTAAAAAAAAATTTTCATGTGGCTTTAAACTACTAGCAACTACCCCTCTGTCCAGCTCCTCTTGCCCACCACAATATGGCCTCACGTTAAACTCATTCCCACAGTAGCTCTGGTCCTCTAGGCAAGTATCCATACTGTCTTATGAGCTGCTGAGCTCACTCCTGCTTCTTTGCCTTTTGATTTGCTCCTTTGCTGGACTATTTCCTCATGCTACTTTTCCAATGCCAACACTCAATTTTTAATGCCCAACAAGTCCTACACTCTTCATGAGATATAAACAAATTTTCAAATCAGCTCTTTTTATCAGCACAAACTCAGAGAGTTGGCTCTGAATCCCAACTCTTTCTAAATCTTAATGTTCTCATCTGTGAAATAGTAATGATATTGACAAACATACAGGGTCAATTGCAAGGATCAATGATAACAAATATGTAGATATAGTGCACAGAATTAATAGCAGTTTTATTATCACTTCAGTCATGTCATTGTCCTCAACAACTCCTATGGCATTCATAACTCTGTCATAAAATTTAGAACTTGACATATTAAGTCTTTTAGACACTATTTATCCTCCAGATAGATAGATCATAGCTATTTGGCAACTGACTAATATTTCTAATTTTATCAAGAGGAAAACAAATGTTCTATTTTTTTTTAACCAAAAGATGTCTTAAACAGCAACTCTTCAAATTTTGTATGCAAAACATATAAGGTTGAGAGACATCATGATGCTAATCCAACACAATTTTTTTTTCTTTTGCAGTATTAGGGTTCAAACCCAGGACCTTGAGCATGCTAGGCAAGCACTTTATCACTTCTATCACTTCAAAATAAAGGCATTCTGTCCATCTACAACTACAAAAAAAAAGCTAGAATCAAGGATTGGGAGGGTAGCTCAGTAGTTGAATGCTTACCTAGCATGCGTAAGGTCCTTGGTTCAATCCTTACCTCCACCATAAAACAAAAGAAAGAAAGAATGCTAGAACCAAGAAGGAACTGAATTAACCATGTGCATCAGTCCTTTGCATTAAGGAAACAAGTTGTCACCAACCTCCCCTCAATACATAGGTAGTTTAGGTAACTTGTTTTGCTGGATCCTTCAGCATTAAAAAATGTACAATGTTCATTACTAATGAAAATTTTAGAAAATGTGACTTGAGGGTAATTAGAGAAAAGACAGACTAGAAAATTTCTCAAAAACATTTTATATGCTATAAATTCCTGGATGAGAAATGTTTCAAAATTCTAAGCATAAGCTAATATGAAAGGCAGGAGAAATGGAAGCAGCAGGAAGGGAAGGTGACTTCCTCAGGGAGAACCGCAACAAGTAAAACAAAGGAATCAGAGTTAAATTATCTGCTAGCTTACAAGTTCTAATTTGGAGACAGACATAACTTTTCCAAGTACCAATTACCAAATATACAAAATTTGTCCCTATATTAAAACAGGAGTTAAAAGCATTTTTTACTATAGAATTTCACTTTTTCAAGTTATGCATTTTGGGGATGGAGGATTCTTTGATCTTTTTTGGTTACTGTTTTAGTACCAGGAATTGAACCCACAGGTGCTCTACCACTGAGGTATATCCCCAGCCCTTTTTATTTTTTATTTTGATCGTATCCCACCAAATTGCTTAGGCTGGCCTCAAACTTGTAATCCTCCTGCCTCAGCCTCCTTAGTAGCTGGGAATACAGGCATGTGCCAACATGCCTGGTAGATTCTTTTACTTTTAAAGATAATCTGACTTCATTGGAAAAGACTATTTTCTATTAAACTTTTTATTATTATTATTATTTTCTTCTGCTACTAGGGATTGAACACATGGGTACTTTACCACCGAGCCATATCCTCAACCCTTTTTTATTTTGAGATAGTCTTGCTGAGTTGCTGACGTTGGCTTTGAACTTGTGGTCCTTCTGCCTCAGGCTCCAGAGTCTCTGGGGTTGCAGGTATGTGTCACTGTGTGCCTGGCTCTAACAGACCATTTTTACACTGTCCCAAATAAATATTGTTAGGTCTAAAGAGACTATTATAAGGGAAAAATGAGCTGTCTAGTATAGAAAGAGTTAAGTGATTTCTTTCTAGAATTCAGCATTATGTCCTCATTACCAGTTGGATTAATTATTTGTCCTAGAGTTTT